AGGAGCGGGATTAAACGTTTTAAGAACTTTATATTCCCAACTGCCCATATTAATTAACGTCTACAAGTATTGAGGATATTGGTGATCCCATCATTGCCACCCCATTCATTTGCGCATATTTTATTTTGAAATTTAAATACAGTACAGGAAGTTAGACATAACTGTACACCTTATATTGTTTCATCAACCGAGAAAGAGTCTTGAGTATCCAGGATCAATGTCTACTTTATTATGCATAAATTTTATTTTGATAAATCACAGTGTTCTTATACAGTAATACTAATTGATGACCACGTTCCGAGCACAATTTATTACTGCTCACAATCATATCAAGCCACTACTCCTACAACATTCTTGCTTCATTTATATACATGAGTAAAAATTGATGATTAGACATCTGAGTAAAAATCTATATAAGATAATGTACATTCGGAAATAATATTAGTGTTATCAAAGAAGTACAATCAGATGGGAAATAAGATATTTTCATAGTAAAAATGGGTAACTTGTTATAGTGTTATAATGCGAATTGAATACATTTTAACATTATTTATCATCTTCTGATTTGACTGGTTGTAATAATATCTACCGTACGTATCTCTGGTATTTGCACTGAGTCACTTCTATTGAATGTGTTGGCTGTAGATTATTCGATGAACCAGGATTCAGTAATCAGTCTCTCTCTCCACATCCATATATTACTTTTTGGAATTTTTATTCTTTCCCACCCAGTCTATTGTGTGGTTGTGTGTTAGTGCATGCAGTGCAATTGCTGAGTTCCTTTTTCTAAATTACTTATCTTCGTGTGGTCAATTATTCTCACGCTAGCTAAATTCTTATGTTCTGACAATCTCACTACTCCTGATCTACTAGTTTGACTCACCTATGTAGTTGACCTCAGTCACAGTCATTGCAAGGTATTTTGTTTAATTGAATCACCCCACTGGGTCCTTTAGCCTACAGGGCTTGTTTTAACTGAATGAGTTTGTAAGTATAAATGCCACCCTGATTCCTGTTTTAATAAGAATCATACATAGGTTCTCAGATGTCCCCTCCTTATATGGTAAAACTACTGTTGATGGCTTATAATCTTCCTTACTAATGTTATCACTACTAGTTTCATAATTATTTTTATTTTGCTTTCGACCTTTTTTGATATTCCTAATGAATTTCATAGGATAGTTAGTTATTTAGCACCAACCAGCTATTCTTCTATCTGTTTACTTTCATCATTAAGGTTTGTTGATGTACTACTTAGTGCAATTACTCGGTTTGTTAGACACTTAACTAAACTTGCCTTAATAGTTATGGATGAGATGGATTAAAGTCGAAATATCTACTTGCAGAATGAGTTGCCTTTTGTTTTTATAAACACCAGTGTACAGTTTACCTTCTTCCATTCATTTTATTTTACAGTCTAACTTCCTAGCTAATTCTCCTTGTTCATTTTCTGATTCAAATGTGAATTTTATTCCCTTTACTAGTGAGTTTATATGTTTGGGGAGAAGTTAAAGATATATTCTGTTTTTAACACTGAAAGTTTCATCCACATATATCTCCACCAATTTTTCCTCATGCATATAAAGGCAGTTAGAGAGTTGTTTGAGTAATGCCTTGGTATGATTATGAGCAGTAACAAATTGTGCTCGAAACGTGTTTATCACCACACCACTGTGTGACTTAGTCAAAATAAATTTTTACCCATAATGTGCGTCGGTGGCACAGTGGTTAGGACTCTCGCCGACCATGCTCATGGTCCGGGGTTCGATCCCCTGCCGACGCACACCCGATATCTATGGTCGGCCTGTGAAATTTGGGCTACCGATATCCATACTGAAAATGCCATACTTGTACTGAAAATACGGTGTGGCATCAAGCTGTAACCAAAATAAATAAATAATAAATAAAATACACTCTACCGCCACAGTGCCTTTTATATTCAACATAATATTTCATTTTTCACTCGCACTATCTATTCTGATATTTGTGGTGTCCAAGTCACAAGTTTATTCTATTTTTAGAAGTCAGTTTATGCGAAAAACCACAGCTGACTTCTCTATCAGTCTTCGGGAAATATGTTACGGATTCATAAATCAAAATATCAGTGAGGCGCAAAATTTAAAACTTGACACATGTTTATAACAATGATAATCTAAATTTGAAGTCGTCACTTTGATTTGAAGAAAATAGGAACATTATTTTGTAGTGAGACTAGGAATTCCCTTCACTGTCACACTGTAAAGAGGTTGAAATAATTTAGATTTGTAGCTCAGTTGGATGACATTGAATTAGTTGTGTTGTCTGAACTGCCAGTTGATTTAATTGAGAAGCTTTCGTCGTCCTCATTCTAGACAACATCTTCAGCTGAGGTTCAGTATGGAATGAATTTATTTGAGTGCTCTATGAATGATGATATAATTATGTTTCCCTACTGACAACCACTGTCGTGACTGGTTGTTGATTTACGTCTCTTCTTAGTAGTTAGTAAATTTGGTCTATAGAAATGCGTGTTTGTTAATTACTAATTCGATCGAGTACTAGGCTTCTAGAAATTCCCTGGCATTACTGTCTAGCGTTTCGTCTATTTAAAATTTCTACATTATCCCAATCATCAAATTGATGTCCGTAATTGTCCACATGCATTGATATGAAACGGTCAATTTGTAGTATTCTTCGATTCGGATTCGGAAGGGACGCACACTTTGTTGACCGATGTAATGTCTATTGCAGTTCATACATGGAATTTATTTTGTAAATGGTATTAATTTTATCTTCTTTTTCTGTTGGATGTGTCTTTTGGTTTGCATCCATTGGGACACTGGTTTATAAAAACTTATTACATCAAAACTAAAGTTTTTTTCATTCTTTTCTTCCTTATGAATTTCACAGGAACCTTCATTTTATTACGTGTGAATTAGTGCGTCTAGAATCTGACGGATCCATACAGTGTGACACATAATATTGATGCTAAATATATTTAAACAACTCATAAGTCGTCGGGGTGTTCTTCAGGTCAACTACTACTGGCCTAAATCAGGTATACTGATTTATGAATTCTAGTAGTATGGTAAAGGAATCTTTATTTGAAAAATTAGTATCTTTGTATAGCCAAATTATGTACACCTTATCCATCTTCAAGGCACTATTTGCACACATCTTACGTGTTGTGCTACCTACTTCTCGCCTTCCTTCATATGTTGTCTTTCTTTGTGTTCCTTTCACTTCGTCTCTAAAGTATCTCCACAACTTTGTATCATTTGCTTTCGCTGACATCAAATCTATCTCCCTGCTATTTGATGTTTTTTATGCCAACCGATGAACGTCTCTTTACATACTACTGATAAATCTTGTCAGTAGCACTCGGCACAGTACTACATACTCTAATAAGGTTATTTAGCTTGAGGTATAAGCACGAGTTCTAAACTTAAATTTGTACAAGTGATGTATATATATATATATATATATATATATATATATATATATATATAATTGCACAGCCAGAAGAGGGCATTATCGGAAAGAATATTTTTCGCTCAATTTTTTTCTAAATAGTCAATAAGACACTGTAGATGTGTTACCCTTAAACAATTAATTGCATTTTCGCGCAGTTGACAGTCAGCTGACATATTTATCTTTGTAAGCATTACACTACTACGCGGCAGGTGAAGCCAACTGACTGACTGAGTTCCAACATAGAAAGTTTCACAGAAGTGCACCAGGTCAAGTTGCTACACCTCCATGTACCACACAAACGAAAACAAAAGAGAGTAGAGCAGAAATGTAAGGGGGAAAAGCTGTAACTTGGAAAAAATGACGGTTTAAAGTATCTGAGAGATCACAGAGTGTGAATGTATGTGCGCCATCGAGAACGATTTTGATAAATATTACCAATAGTCTCTAGCCATTGATTTTTAGCATCTCGAGGGGCCACAACCAGACAGTCTAGACTTGCCAACGTGGCTCAGACTGATTGTCAAAGATTTCATGGATTAATTCCATCTTTTAGTCTGATTATCTCTAAATCTTTCCAAGACTAATCCTATGTCACCTTGTTGTGACAGCTGACTGCAAGCCAAAATTGTAGGCAACAATTTACGTCATTTTTCACGTCCCGAATCAAGATCACTAGAAAAAACAAACAGTAACAAAGCCTAATCTTGAGAAAACCACCGGCCAATCACAGCGGAGTTAACGTGTATAAATGTGATTCGCAGATATATGGCTTGATTATCTGAGAAACGGCCACAAAGAGATAACAAAATAAGCTCCAGCAAGAAAACAACCAATCTCAGAAGAGGTTGCTTCTCCGCTAACAGTAATGTACATAAAAATCTATAAATACCTCTTGATTTTTTCAATAAAAATGATCGGTTGCCTGACCCTTGTCTTCTGTCATTACAAGCTAACATTGCTCTAAGAAGAAGATGGTAACTCTTGGCGTACGCTAAACATATCCTAGCCGTCTCATAATCGATGTACCTTCACAATGTCACCGATCTACCACTCTACGCATAATCTAAGCATTACACTCACCACACAATACCATTTAACAGGTGAGATAGAACGCAAACATCTGTACTCAAAGACAAGTTAGCCATTCCAGGTCTACCACTTTCAATCTTACACACCCATAAAGGGGGACATAGCGAAGAACTTTTACACAGTGTACAACGAATACCCTTTGATCGATCGATTGATAGCCCACCAGAGATAACATAAACAGGGGGAATTCGAGTTTTGTAGACCTGTGATCTAGCAGTTCAACGTCAAGCACCCAAGACCAATGGATCACAGCTCCTCCACACCTCAGTAGATTAGAATAAAATAGCAAATGTAAGTGGAATAAGATAACAAATAATGCTCTCCTTTTTTAATAATTCTCTACTAATGTTCAACTACACAATTCGACTCAACTAAAACATAAACAGAAGTGAGACGTACTCATATCTATATATATATATATATATCTATATATCTCTATATATGTATAATATGTACAAGAGTAACACTTCTAAAAAGTATACTGTGTTGAACATTGGAATACGACTGATTTTAATCATGTACTTTGGAAATATTGACCAATAGGTGACAAACAGATAAGAGAAATTAATAAATCAAAAAACAAAAAAATCTATTTTGTTTTCAAATATTAAACAAACAGAGAATACAAAGAAGACAAGGAAGAATTTACACCTCCTCTTCAATGAGGAGGAGGAGAAGGCGGAGCACTTCACTTTTCTGCTGTTTTAAACACGCTTGTCCCTCCTCCTCCTACCTACTTCTCGTTGTATTTTTGACGATGCTATTTGGTTCAGATTTGTTTCAGTAAACATTCCAGATTATATATATCCTCGTTGAAGTGTACACAACATCAGACTATAAACTGAGGGAGGTAATCAACAAGGAGCATATACACAATGAAAGAGTTGAATAATGAGGGCGGCGGGATGGGGGAATTAGACACTGTTGCCGTACAATCAGAGAAACACTAACAATTAGGAGTACAGAGTAAATTAGACAACTAGACATAGAAATATACACACACAATTCAAACTGAGCGCGAAAACTATTTTGTTTTTTGCGGTTATTTTGACTGTTTGAATAGCGCGCGCACACACACACACACAAATACACACAAAACGATGCAAAATAACAGTTCGAAATCAAAACATATTATTAAAACTCAACAAAAGAGAAAATAATAAATCAAAAACAAGGAAATAAATAAAGACCAAAAAGAGAAATATTATTTATCAATATTAGTGGTAGTAGTAGTGAAGACTTGCGAATAAGTAACAATGTTGTAATCCACACTTTGAAGATTCTTCTTACCACCACCTCTGGTGAGAAGGAAGGAATACTCCTCAGTGATTATGAAGTTCCCAGTAAGCAGACTATACTATACAGAGGTTAGAGATTTCATGGAAAAGCTACGAAATGCAAAGAGAAAAGGAAAAAGAAAAATGGAATCATAAGAAAATCAATGATGTTGTGAGTGTGTGAACACACTTTTGATTTTTTTAAGTAGTATAATGCACAAAACAACAAAAATATTCTAAACTTTTTTCTTTCTTTTTAAAAAAAGATTAAATGCATTATATCTTTCATGCGCTTGTGTTAATTATAACTAAATGGAGAAGATCTGTGGAGTAACTGCTCAGATGGATGTTTTCAGTGAATGTGTTGGCACTGAATATGTTGTCTAGATGGACAACCAAAGGTTCGCAATCAAATTTTCTGGCTGCGAGAAGGCAACACCAACAGAGCTTTAGTTAAATAGTAATTATGAACATTGACTGTCATAATATATATATTTATTCCTTCGGGTTTGCAGTGGGACAAAGGACTTCACCGGCACATCCCCATTTCATCATCGGAATGCTTTCTGAAGTCCTATTTAGCTGTCTCCACAATTGCCCAACTCTACGCATCGTCATCGAAAAAAGCAGAGAATGGCAGTCAAACGCCTATCTTAACTTCATCGACCAATTTGATGAAAAGGCCTTCTACAGCGTTGATCGAGCAGTAACTTGGAAACTACTTCAACACTACGGCGTGCAGTGACCAAGTCTTTATCAACCTCATCTAGCAGTTGGCTATACGACAATGCCTGCCACGTGTCAGGTGATCCACGACGGGAAACTCAGCGAGGCGTTCGAAGTGAATGCAAGAGTAAGACAAGATTGGTATTCTTAATTGTGGTGGACTGGATTATACGTCAGACTGTGCATGGGAGTGAGGAGACAGGAGTACGCTGGACCACCGATGAGAAGGCTTTAGAAGATCTGGATTTCGCAGATGATATATATATATATATATAATGTCACACAAACTCGAAGACTTGCAGGCAAAAACCAACAAACTGGCAGAAGAGGCTGGTAGTGAAGACACGATTCCAGGAGAACATAGGGAAGACGGAGGTGGTGAAGATAACCAGCCAACAGCAACAACCAGCACCAGTCACCATCAACGGAGGAAGTTTGAAAGAGGTTACTTCCTTCATTTATCCGGCTAGGAAGCATCGTTTTAAGCACACATACAGTCGAAATGGATGAAGATGTCAAAGCCAGTCAGCCAGAATCTGAAAGGTAAGATAAACCTTCATCAACTTGAAACCGATTTGCAAATCTTCTGCACTCCGCCAGCATAACGAACAAGATTCAGATTCTGTTCGACACAAATGTGCAGCGATGAGTGGGTCATCAGTGTGAGGGTGACATGGAGGAGATCATGCGAAGAGGAGATGAAAGATTATGGGCTAAATAGAACAGCACCAAATAGAACGAAGTAAAGATGTGCTGTTGGAGCCTTATGTCCCACTCAGAACCCAAGGGAATAACAAATACAATCGCCCATAAGCTTTCATCCCTTCATCGCACAATTTCACCCAAATCACTCTGCTATGATGTCCAACACATCGTTTTCCAATCGAGTTTGCCTGGACGTCTGCTGTCACACACACTCAAGGGCCTCTCCTCCTCTATCGCCAGACACATTACACTAGTTACTGACTAGTGTGCAATCAGAAATATCCAATACAGTCCTACAGGAGGTCAGTCGTGAGCCTGAATAGCTCAGTGGTAACGTCTCTGACTGCAGACGGCACTGGGTGACGCGGGTTCGAATCTCAGAAGGGACATCAGTTCCTTCAAGGTTGCAGATGCGCTTGCTGATGAGTGCCAACTAGCACGAAACCTAGGTCCAAGGCTTCCTGCCGATTGCCTCCAACCATCTAATACTATCGCCAACCTAATGACAAATATGAACCACTGATTTCACTATTACATCACTAGTTTAGTATCTGGGGTTTTACGCTTCGAAGAAGTGAGAAGGTTAGGCATGACATCAGCTTAATTGCATTTGGTTGGTCTCATACTACCCTACGAATAGGGATTACATCATTTCCATTCCTTTGTCTTTCCATATTTTATCCTCCAATCGATGTGCAGACATGGAATGTAGCAATTTAGATTCCTTGCATTCCTTTGCATTCCCAGTGGAACATAGGGTTTCAAGCTTTAGCTTTGAAGTCTCAGTAGCAATAGTGCTTTTTCACGGGGGTGGGATTGCTAACCTTACGCCCAACCTCCCGTCTTTTTTGGGATCATAACCGACTAAGGAAGGTAAAGGTGTGCGCCAGTCGGGACTCGAACCCCAGACCACGTGGTGTGGTCGACCAGCACTCTATCGCTGAACCACTGACGCACAGCAGTTAAGGTCATCACACAGTAATTCTAGGGTTCTGTGTCGATGCCTTTAAGTCTGTTTGTTGAAAACGGTGACCACCTAAAATAATCCAGTTAAAACTACCAGTTATTTTCACATGATACTGATTTTAGACACACTACAACTATTTCCAACCTAATAATGATAAAAATAAAGGAGTAAAGTGTGGTAACAAATTACCACTGAGAGACATCGGAAGAAGGTTGACACAGGAACTGCAGTACATCCCTGGATGTTGGCCGTGTTTATTTGGCAAAATATGCATGTTTGCAATGTGCATGCATTAAAAATTACAAATAGACGATGTATACATGAACGTAATTGGAAAGGTGAGGAAATTCGATTTTAAAAATAATACATTCAGATGGCATTTGTACAACCTTATAGGGGGAGGGGAATCGATAGTACCCACCGTCTTGAAGGAACTCATTTCCCTTCTGCACTAGGTCAAAAGGCATATAAGCTCCTTCAAAACTACAGATACGTCTTGTTGACGAGGTTTAAGAAGCCCAGGTCGTCCAACCATCTAAAAACAACAATTCAGAGGTCGCCATGATGGCGAGCCACCTAGCATAATCGCCACATGTACAAACTTGACTGACAGAATTCCGTCTGCGCCAAAGGAATGAATTAGGCGCATGACATAAGTTACATTACACATCAGTTCACTCAAAGTACCTAACTTAACCTGAAGTGTCATTTGAAGAACAGTAATGCAATGGAATGGTTCTGTCATATGTTTTAATATACATTTACATTTTTTATATTCGCATATTTGATTACAGCTTGATTCCACACAGCATTTTTGGTACGAGTATGGAATTTTCTGCATGTGATATCGGTAGCCAAAATTTAGCAGGCCAATCATTGATACCAGGCATGAGTCGGCTGGGGATCAAAACCCGGACCTTGTGCATGGTCGGTGAGCGTCCTAACCGCCGTGCCATCGACACACAGATAATGAATATAATCTTCTTAAGCACTCAACAGTTTCCAGTCAGTGGGTCCCAGGTTCGAAACCCGTTCCACCTACTTCTTTGAATCTGAACAACTGGGCAGTAACAACACCCTTTGGACAATAATTCTGACTCATATTCCAGTACACGAAAGACCTGCTCCCGATACCTGGCTTCAAACAACCTCGCTCACCCCCCCTATCCTGCCAAGGTGTATTATTATTTGTGTACTGCCTATACAGCAATAAGGCAAATTTCACGTAGATGTTAGCATTGAAAATGTTGCCTAGATATAGCTGAACATAAAAACTTAGCAAAATCTAGATTGGTTGACCCGAATAAAATAAGAAATCTAGAGAATAGTTCAGCTATAGTACTACATGCAGTTACATACAACCACACAATAGGATGGGATAAGATGACAGTTTTAAAATCTAATGTCACAGAGTGGAGGGAGAGATCGATAACAGAAGCTTTGTTTATCGAATCAAGTGCAAACACGTGTAATAGGAATGATTCAACACCTGTCCACCCACCCGGATATCTGGAAAATTCTACTACCCCAATGACGACAAATAGGAGAAAACAAAGAAAGCTATAAAACTCAAGTTTCAAAGTCGTGTGATCACAATTGATATGATTATGAACAGTAAAAAATTTTGTTCGAAACGTCATCCAGTAAATAATACTGTTTCAGTGACTGTCTGATATATCTAATAAACAAACTAATATGGAATTGCCTAGAAAGACAATGAAATCCTCGTTATTCAATCGGCAACCAACCAACCAAACAGCTAAGAGAAAGCACAACTACACACTAAAGTTATGCGCACTTGAGCTACATATATATTATATCCTCTCCATAATTTCTTAATTACACAAACACGCACACACAACTGTGTTTATTAACCGAAAACTAACCTCTCTCTATCCATCCATTAACATTTTCTATTTGTGTCAGTATCTCCAAAGAGAAAAGCTTCCATTTCTTCACGTCTACATCGAGCAGTTTCAAGTTCTTTGTTACTGACTTCAGGATCAGTGTAGTTGGTTTTTGAATTCACATTCTGTTTTCTCTTCGCTTCAGCTTGAGCACCAATTCGTGCAATATGCTTAGAAGGAGGAGGAAGTTTCTTTTTAGCCTGTTTAGGACGTGAGGAATTTTTCTGAGATGTCGGGGGATTGATCATATTTGTCACATGTGAATTAGGTACACGTACTGAAGGTGAAGGTGATGAGTGCTTAGTTTGAGATGTACCACCAACACCACCACCACCACCCCCGAACATGTTGAACTGACGGGACTGAAGTGAAGTTGCAAGTGATGGTTGTAGAATAGCCAAAGCATCTTCAACAGTACCCGGTTTGAAATCGTTTCTGGGCGGGAAAAAAGAAAGCGAATTAATGGTTACTAATCAATTATCAATAAAAAAGAAACAGCATTACACAGTGGCATCGGTGGTTCAGGGGGAAAATGTTTACCGGGCCAAACACGTGCTCCGTGTTCGAATCCCCCAGCCGACACACTTCAAAATTTCACCTAGCCAGTAGAAAGCTTGGAAAAGAGGAAAGGTTGGGCATAAGAATAGCACTGCTGAAATTTTACAGCTTACACATCCTGAAGTCCTACGTTCTACTCAGAACGTACAGTTACTCTTGAAAAACCTATACTTTCATGTATGACTACGTTTGGCCAATTTAATTACTGCTAACTCAACTTCAATACAATGTTGATATCGAATGAAGACCATGAAAGTAGTAGTAGTATTGTGGCGAGAGCTGTCTGCAAGCCAAAAATTGTAGACAACAATTTACGTCAATGTTAACGTCCCGAATCGGGCTCATGAGAAAAAACAAACAATAACAAAGCCTTAACATGAGGAACTAACCAACCAATCACAGTAGACTTAACGCGTGCAAATACGATTCGCAGATATATGGCCTGACTTTTTAAGGAACAAAGAGATGACAGAATAACCTTCAGCAAGAAAACAACCAACCAAAAGACGTTGCTTCTCTGTTAACAATAACGCTAATAATAATAATGTACATAAAAATCTATAAATATTTGTTGATTTTCTCAATAAACGATTAGTTGCCTGACCCTTGACTTCTGTCGTTACAGTATAACGATCCTTTTAGTGCCTGCACATAAAACCAGAGCAAAGTACATCTGAATGGTCATCGAGTATGATTGCTAGAACAAGGTAAAGTGTAAACTGTAAGTACACCATGCCCCCTCCCGACCCATCTGTCTGGCTGTTAGTTTTCGACATAGAACTTTGCATATATGTGCGGCAGTTCAAGTCGCCACACTCCCTCTTTGTAGCACACAAAGCAAGAGAAGAAAGTAAAAAGAAATGCAAAATGGAACCAGTAAACAGAGGTGTGAGACAAAGGTATAGTAATAACGAAGAACAAAACAGTTTAATTGGAAATCATGAGTTACAAAGAGTGGATGCATCTGCGCCATCCACTGAGAACGATGAGTTTGAGCCATGTCGCCAATTGTTTCCAACCATTGGTTTTTACCGTCCCGAGGACCCCAACCAGTGACGAAGTCTACACCTTCCTACGTGGCTGGCTTAGACTAACTGTTGTAGATTTCATTGACTGGTGCTATGTTTTGGTTTGACCGCCGCCAGCTCTTTTCCAGCCTGACCCTATATCAGCTAACATTGCCCGTCGAGGAAGGCGATGACTCCCGACCCATACAACCTGGTAGAGCCGAGGGTGCATAGACTTCATATTTCCTCTCAACATACTCTCATGAGACCACTTGTTCATAGTCTCTGCTAAGTCATATTCAGTGCTTTTACGCGACTGTGGTGTGTGTGTTTCTGACAAGAGTGAAAGAGTGAATAGGAATGTCTGGCGCTTACAACAGGACTAGTGGACATGCTGGTCTATCTAGGGGAGTTGGAAAATCCTGATTCCAAACCTATGGTGATGTACATGGGTTCCAGAATCCGATTAGATCAGATGGTGTATGAACCTGTTTTCGTCACCAGAATCCAAGGTAACGTGGCCCGTGATGCTGTTTCACTATCTCTCTTGTGGATCAAAAAAAAGTCAAAGGCTCAATGGAGGTGGTCATTCACCTGCTTCGGTCCCGACATCTCAACGCTCGCTCAAACTTTAAGATTCTGCGTGGTGCATCTCTCAGTACCCATAATATATCGAGTATGTATGCTACTACTAACAATAATAATAAGTATATAATAGTTACTTTACAAAGTCCAGATGTAATAATACTGAACTGTACAACTTTCAACCCTAAAAACATAAAAATTTGTGTTGCAGATTGAATTAGTACGAGTATTTTTCTCAACTTCATTTAATTCGCTAACTGATTGATTGGTTTCAACGTAGAGCTTTGCAGAGACGTGTAGCAGTTCGAGTCACCACACTCCATGTACCACACAAAACAAAAGAGAGTAAAGGGAGGTTCAAAAAAGACAGCTCAAAAACAGAAGTGTAAGGGGAAGAGAGAAGTTAGTAATATATGGAAGAACAATAGAGCTTTATTGGATATTATAAATCACATGGATTGAATACACCTGTGCCAGCCATTGAAAACTATTTTGAGCTATATCACCAATAATCGTCTCCAGCTGTCATTAGTTTTTACCATTCCGAGGACCCTAACCAGCCACCCAGTCCACACCTCCCTAGGTGGCTGGCTCACTGGTGGGCTTAAACTAATTGTTGCGGATTGCACTGGCTGATGAAGCCATGTTTATGTTTCACCACCAACCACTAGCTCTTTTCCAACCTGATCTATGTTATGTCAGCTGACATTGATCGTCATGGAAGAAGACGATGACTAGGCATGACATGCGTAACATGTGTCCTGACCACCTTAATCGATGTAACTTCACAACCTCGTCGATTCATTTCCCCTCCCACCCTACTCAACATTCGACCGATGCCTAACCTCAATATTACTCACCCTATTATAACAGCTAACACGGGAGATAGAACGCAGACAGCTATGATCAAAAATAGCTAGCAAGCCACGATTCTCACGTCTTCCACTTTCAACGCCCATGTCTCACTCGCAGCCAGTCAGCGATCAACCCGCTGGCGTTGGCTGATGCAACTTTCCAAATAAATGAGCTGGTCAATACTCTCTACCAACCACTTCACTCCTCTATGTCTTTTAGCTAGGAATAATTCGATTTAATCCAGTAGAGTCCTGTAGCACCACGGGAGCGAATAGCATGCCAAACATTCAAAGATTCCTGCTGCTCAAGGTGTTCAGAAGACTCTGCTCTATTTTGTCAACGTCTTCACCTAAGAGGCAAGACTATATCATCTGAATAAGTCAACGAGATTATTCCCTGGTAACAAGTCAATCCCTGAGTTAGGTTTAAGTCCATTATTAGTACATCTATGATAAAATTAAGCACAAATGGAGACAGTGGGCAGGACATCTATGACGGACACCACTTGCTGTCACCACTCCAGATGGCAACCCTCAGTAGGATCTCACCTGGCTGGCTGCATGAGTTCAAGTAAAGTGCCTTGATCAGTGCGATGTATTTTCTCGACATTCCCTTCACAGCCAAATATCGCATAGTACCTCTCGGTCGACGGAATCGAATGTCGCTTTCACGTCAAGAAATAAGACGATTGTTGGATGCCAATGTAGGTATGCCTATGTTCCACAACCTACAGAAGGGTCAAGAAATATGATCAATACACCCTCTTCTTGATCTAAAGTCTGCCTGGTTCTCTCGTGTTTGCCGCTTAGTCTACGCATGATTATTGAGCCTAGAACTCTAGATACCAGCCATATTGGTCAATCTAGTCCCCCTGTGATTACCTCCCTTCTTATATATTGAGACAATCAATGACTTACATACACCAGTCCGACACGACTATCTCTGATTCCCAGACGCTGCCTAATACCCTAGTAAACGCAGACATTAAACTGTCTCCACCGTCCCTAAACACCTCTGGAATCATTCCATCAGGTCCCACTGCTTCGCCTTGTTTCAGACTAGTGACAGTTTTTGTAACCTCAGTTAGGGACGGACAACCTGTGTGTATATCCCATTCAAGTAGATGTTGGATGCTGGGCATGTTGAGTGTGAACGTAAAAAGGGGTAAACGGGAATTCGGAAATAATAATATTTATCTAAGTTATCTTACTTTTTTCCATACTGGCAAATATTTTCAATATCTTCTGATAAGTCTGTATCAGATTCTTCATCACTGACAACATCGACTAGACCATTCATACTTGGACCAAGTATACCACCAACACCAGCACCAGTAATAGCAGTCGTAATAGAACTAGCAGCAGTAGTAGTAGTAGTAGTGATTAAATTAAGACGTTGTTTCGTAAGAAATTCTGAATCAGCCATTGCAATTTTCAACTCTTCTTCTTCTTCTGAATCCTTTTGATAGGTGACTACACCAGCTGAACGTAAAACTTCTATAGTACAGGGATCTCGATCAGAGGGAACAGTTTTTGTTGGCGATTCAATAACACGTGTACAATCCACTTTCATTAGATTTCGCATTTGATCTTCAACAGATTTAATTTCATCTGTACATGTGACGGTATTTTCTACTGCTGATACTAGCCTAGCTTAAAATAAGAAAAAAAATTTTCTGAGAAAAAAATAACAATAAAAACAGTTACATCTGATACATTGACGAGTCACAATTTATATCTTCTAATCAACGCCTGCCTACTAATTAAGGATGATGTTTTGAGTGAACACTAGTCAGTAACCAGTGAAATGTGTCTAGTACTTTGTATGGTTGGTGCAGACTGAATTCTATCCAGTCAGGTTTGCAATGTGGCCATCATTCATTCTAGGTAGCTCGCCATCACGGTGGGAAGTCAATCGCGAGCTCGAATAGCTGCTGAGTAGTAACGTCTCTGACTGCAAGCAACACTGGGTGACGCAGGTTCGAGTCTCAGAAGGGACGTCAGTCCAAGGTTCAAGGTTGCAGATACGCCTTGCTGACGAGTACCAACTAGCACGAAACCTAGGTCAGGCACGGCTTCCTGTGGCCATTTGCCTCCAACCATCTAATACCGACGATATTCCTGATTGTAGTGGACTGGATCATGCAACACACACACACATTGGGGAGCGAGAAGACAGGAATACATTTGACCAATGAGAAGACTCTAGAGAGATCTGAACTTTGAAGAACAAATTACATCTTAGTGTATAGGCAAAAACCAACAAGTTGGTGGTTGAAGAGGCTGGCAGAGACGATAGGACTTCATTCAGGTGAATACAGAGAGGGCAGATATGATGAATATAAGTAACTAAGAAGAATAAGTACCAATCGCTACCGATGAGAGAAATTTAATCAAGGTCGCTTCTTTCACTTATCTGGGCAGCATCGTTTCAACTACATTCGTCACGAGTGAGAATGTTAAGAGGTAGGATTAGGAAAGCATAGCAGACCTTTAGCACTCGGAAATCAGTTTGAAAATCTTCTGCATTCAGTATACAGAGCAAAATTCGGATTTTTAAAACCAGTGTTGAGTCAGTTTTTTCTGTATCGGTCAGAGACTTCGTGCGCGCACGTCACCAAAAGCATTTCCAACAGCTTGTTGCAGACTTTTAAAAACCGGAGCCTTCGCTCCATACTGAAGGTTAAATAGCCAGAAAGTACACAAAATAAAGAAATAGAAACGTAATCATGCTACATATCTCTAAGCAGTGTCCGTTGGCTTGTTACAGCCTTTCCGATGCTAAGAATTAAAGGTGAATAGATGTCTACTCAACCTTGAACCTTCGTTGAAGGCTTTTAACGACCCTAATCAATTTGTTTATAAACGTGGTAGGTGTACTTTAGATTCCACTGTTGTTCTATATCATAATATTATCTCTAGTTTAGGTAGAGATGCCAAATATGTTCGATGTACCTTACTAGACTACACCACATCTGCCTTTGACTCTGTACCTAGCCTTCTTTTGTAAAACAAGCTTGCTGTGACACAAGCACAGTGCTGGATTACCAAGTGGTTCCATTCCTCTTTTTCTGATAGGAGACAGTACACTGTTCACAATGGGAAGTCCTCCATTGCCTGCTTCCCTTACACCTACTGGTGTTCCTCGGGAAGCTGTCCCTTCTCTTTTTATGTTTTCTTTCTTCTTACATGGCTTGCCCCATCCTGACGAAGCCAACAAATGGTTTCATGCTAAATCACGTCAAATGTCAGATTGTTAACTTCACTTTCAGATGCAAGCGCAACTTATGTGAACTGGTTAGTTTGCATCGTTCCACTATCATAGATGGCACTGAAGTTGAAACCGAATCAAATGTTAAATATGCCTTGGACTGTGCATTTCCCCTAATCATCTCCCCTGGTCTTCCCACATCATGTTAGTTTCCAGAAAGATATTTCGTTTAACTTTCTATGTAAGGAAGATAAGACGATCTGGTATCGCTCCACTTCTGTTGTTACCGTTTGTTAATTCTTGTATTCTGCCTATACTTTTTTACTGTTCCCCTCACACCTTAATCTTTCCCTGGCTACTAAAGAAAGACTTTGCCATACTGCTCAGGACACTAAAAGCTGTCAGTGGGGAGAGCGGGGTGTTGTTATACCAATTCATTAATACTCTTGTAGAGAGACACTTGGATTCCTGAAAAAAATTAGCAAATATTATCCTGTCGGACTCTGAACATCTTCTCCATACACAACTCTCTCCTTGCATCTCACCAGGTAGGTAGAACTAGTAGAAACTATAGAAGACTGTATGCTCGGACAACTATGTACAAAAACTCCACTATACCTTATTTGGCAAGCACACATTTTACGTGATGAAAGAAGTGAAAGATGGGAAATTACCAAGTGACTGAGGAACTCTAATTAAACGGCATTGCCTTTGTTATTCTCATTATTACATTGTTACTAATATTTCCACTTGATTTAATTTTATATTCATTTCTTATTGAATAATCTTATCAATGTAAATTACTATTATTAATAAAAATGCTCCATTTTCATTATTGCCCCTGTAATGAGAACATTAGATACAATATTGTATTACACGTTGAAAATTCCATATTTGTACCAAAATTACGTACTTTTTAGAATAAAGCTATTATTATTATGTTAACGTCTTTGTAAATTATTCCACACCACTTAATTTTTTTTTTCCTTCACGTTCCCCAGTGAAACATAGGGCTTCAAGCTAGTGGCTTGAAGTTTCTGTAGCAGTGTTTATTTTACAGGATGGGGTTGCTAGCCTCATGCCCAACCTTTCCTCTTCACCAGCATTATTTCTGGCTTAGCGAGGTAAAGAAGTGCGTCGGCCGGGGATCGAACCCCGGACCATGTGCATGGTCGGCGAGCGTCCTAACCGCTATGCCACCGACGCGCACACCACTTAATATGAATGGGAAAAAATAAATAGTGTGTGTATGAGATGTGATTCAGTAAATAATACTGTTTCAATGTATATTCATTCTATATAACACGTAAAAATAAACTCTTCTCAATCACTAGAGAAGATCCTAAACAAGCAACTTAGATTATGTTACGAGACTAAAATCAATAATCATAGGCTGACTACCATCCGCGTCCTTTCAAAACGTGTTAGAGAACACTACCCAGTGTGGCTGCAAAGAGGAGGCACTGGTTCAATCAGAAGTGCCATTATTGAGCATCTGATCAATACCTCCCACAACATCTCAACTGATTCATTCAAAGTAATTTACAAAGTCAACAGAAACCTACCGAAAGCAGTTTGTTTCCGACTTCTCTGTACTGCAGAAGCCCTCGCAATATGCATCGAGAAGCCGGAGCTGTGTGTCCAAAAGAAATTAGTCCAACCTCTACAACTATCATGGACTTAGTTCGGTATGTTACCGTAGCTTCCGTTTTTGTTTTTTGATCCCCTTTTCGTTCGCTATGTGTGTGATTCTTACTCCCTCAGTCTTCATTCGATTCACCCCATTTTTTTCCAGTTATAAAAAAGTTATTTTAAGTTTGTTTCCATGCTTTTCCTGTTCACATTTATAATCCGTCTTAAAAATTTACAATTATATCTCAATCCTGTGCAATGTTTTGTGTTTCTAAGGCTCTTGTAATCTATATTTGCACCTCCTTACTTCCATTTCAAGTTAAAACTATTGTATCAATTTTTGTCTCCATGCTCATTTTCTACACACTTGATATCCGTTCTGATCCTGCGTAATTTTGTTTCTAAGCCTCTCGTAAAACCATATCTAGTTGGAAACAATTATCACCTTTTATTCGCCGTCATAATTATGTAGAATCAAACAAGAATTGTCTCCATGTAAAATTGTGTATTTAAATGCGATAGTACAGCTTTTGAAAATGAAATCGCCGAAAAGATATCTTTGCTGAACTTCTTATTCTTCTCAATCTAATGTTCCAATGGGTATTTTCCACGATTTGAAAAAAATCCTAAATCAACAGACATTACTCTACTCGGGTAGGCAGAGGCTAAAAGAAAGTGTACGCACCACATCCTAGTCACACTAAATGATGAAGATTTATAACCTACTCAACTGAGTTAGTTTTCATAGGTTAGCACAGTCTCAACACTCCTCTGTCTTCAATCTCCTGTCATATGAACAATCGAGTTGAGAAACATAAGAACAGTAGTCTATGATCTTTCTATATCTGCTTTCAACAATCATGCTTTACAACTAATAAGACACCAGACTGCTGTCTGTAACTGGGTTTCAGTATAGAAATTTGCAGAGAAGTGTAGCAGTTCAAGTTATTTATCATTATTATTATTCTCTTGGGTTCCGAGTGGAACATACGGCTTCAACAACACACCTCCACTTCGGTCTCTTTGGTGTTATTCTCTGCAGCTGGTTAGCTCCACGATTGCTTATAATCTCTCATCTCCTCCTCCTCCTCACGCGATCTTCTTCATGACACACTCGCACTTATGACCCAATCGTCGCTTCCCATTGGGATTCCACTTAAGGGCCTCGAGCGCGATGTCATTCGATGGCCTCAACGTGTGTCCGATACATCCATCTTCACTTTCTCCTACATATTTGTCGAGCAATCAAGTCTTGCCTGCTGGTTTGTTCCCAGCCAGAGTTTCTTGTTACTAATTCTTTCTGGCCGGCTGAATGATCATTTGATCTTCAGTATGGAGCCAGTGAAGTGTACACAGCTGTTGATAAAAATCTGCAATAGCCTGTTGGAAATTCTTTTCGTGACACGCAATACCAGTTTCTGACCCGTACAGAAGAACTGACTAACTAACTGATTTCACATTTGTGTTGAACAGAATCCGAATCTTGTTCTTTATACTTACTGAGTGAGTGAGAGAGTGCAGGAGATTTCCAAACTGGTTTCTGGTTGATGAAGGTGTGTGTATCTTGCCTTTGTGATTCTGGCTGTAGTACGAGCTGAATATATCGTCCAGCAAGACAATGAAAGCTTCGCAATCGAACCATCCAGATCAGAGAACACAACTACGATAAAATCCTTCACCTGAACTAAAAGTCTCTGTTATATCTATCCAGGGTTTAATTAGTGTTCTAGGTTGCAAATCATATTTATTGTTTGAGGTATTATAACATAGTAAGGTTGCTTAGACTCAAAAACAAGGACACACAGCTTCTAACTCAAACCGAATACTTAAAAGCCATATACCCAGTCTAATGAAGCACAAAATTAGGATTGAATTCATGAATATCAGGAAACGAGACTTACCATATCTGGATATAATTTCATCGGCTGCATTCTTTGACTTTTCAGGAGACTAAAAGATTTTTCAAAAAATTCAACGTTAGGAAAATACAAATTAACCCCTTAATCATATAATAGTATAAAATGTGAAAATTTCAGTGTCAATCAGTCACTTCAATCTGAACCCCGAAGTAAAACTATCCACATACTAGGCAGTAAGTCAAACTTACTACAGGCTGAAATAGTTATGCTACGAAAAGAACTGAGAACCCAGTGGTTGATAATTAAGCACTAAAGCTAATAATTATCATTTCACTTTTACCTGTAATGGCGAAAACAATTCGAAGATAAAGTTGTTCTTACAATCTACTTTTTTTATATGTTTTACGTATTAAGTCAACTACTTCTAACGTAAATGGCAAAAGGGAATGGTGGCTTTAAAAGTGGGTATCATATATTGAAACTTTATAAGTATTAACGTAAGTAAACACTAACAGTCATTTTATAAAAAGTGATGAAACAACTACGTTTGTGCACCCTTGATATCCCTTTTATCCTGATTCTAACTCACCTGGTACAAGTCAGGAAGGTAAATGGCACATAATGTATAACACACCACAGTTATTGACAATAAACTTCTGATGTAAAAGTTCGAAGTCATTCTCATGATAAAGCAGATCTACTTGCACCTTATCATCGGGATTCGGAACATTTTACAACTCTTGATCAAACTGTTCTTTCTTTAGAACACTTCTATCCTATTCACCCGACCGAAAGCTGCTACCTGGACGTGGTGGTCGGGCTTGAACACCGCAATGATCCAACAAGCTATACTGGCTGAGACTTATGTCGCTTGAGGTCCTACCATGCCAAAAACGTTTGGATAGCGGTTAGACAAAAAGCAGTTACCCAACCCAATGCTATGACTCAAAGTAAATCACAAAATATCATGCCGGATCGGTCGGGGCCTGGATTAACAACGACCGCGCTTCCTGCTGCCGTGTCACGGGGCAGAAGTGATAAATATGCTACTGAGACACACCAAATGAAAAAGAACAGATAAAAGCAGGCCGCGTGTGACCGGCCTCAATCAGTTGTCCCCTGGGCTCTGCGGTCACGCAACCAACTTCCACGGTGTGGGCAGCCGGGAAGTAACAATCGCCCTCACAATCCGAAATGCATGCGAAACCTCTCTAATCCTCACTCATCTTTGTTTTCACCATCTCTATTATCTTGCCTTCCTTCTACTAATGCGACTCCTCTACTTGATGGCTCTTCACTTCCTCTTCACTCTGTGTGCACTGAAAACGATGAAAGCCAAAAAAAACCACCTATCCTATTCAGTATATTCACATTTCTTTGTTCCTCTCTTGCGTACGGCATTTTGAACTGATGTACACATGCGCAAAGTTTTACGATAACAAGAATGAAAATTGAAACATCTCGACGATTTCACGGAAGGATGTGTTCAAGATTTTCAACTAGCTAGCTGCCAACATGATGATTTCACCCTGGAGTATATATAAAAGGTAGTGGGCAGCTTTAGGAAAAAAATATAATTTATTTTTTATTTGCTTGGTTCCCATCTTTTGGGGTAGCTAGAATATGTTACACATGCGTACTCCGGTGTACTTAAATAAGACAGAAAACCCTTAAGTGACTAAATCAAAAAAAACCTACCGATTAATTCAGTTTTCGACTTCAAAGGTTTTAGATTAAAAAAATGACACAAGAGATTTCAGGGAGCCGCTGAACATCCATCAATGGAATAAATGTACTCCGTTTTTAAGTTATAATAATCTTATCAATATCTAAAACATCTTACATTTCGGGCAAATCTCAACCATTTTGTGACAATGTTGTGGTGATTTAGACTATTTAAGTGACTACGTGATTTTCGTTCGATGCCTGTGCATGAACTCACAACATAAAGCAATTGTAAAATTAATGAAAGAAATCGACCCAAGAAATAAAAGTGAATCACTTCGATAAACAGAAACACACGCAGCTCCACTGACATACTATTAAATAGACTAATGTAGTGAATCACTTCAAAATAAATTATTCGAAAAGGCAATTTGTTTTTACTTAAATTGGCACCACTGAAAGATTCCAAGCATACAGTAAGACGGGAAGAAACGAAGTTAATAAATTCTAGAAAATATATCCATAGCCGTCAACTGCCCTTAGTTTTTTCACAGAAAATGAATAATAACTATACTACGGTTCATAATGAAACACCTGCTAACCCCTTCTGCTCGCGTAATATTTCAAAAACCCTTCTGCTTAACCATAAATGACATCGTGCAAGCAACAATTGCGGCCTTCAGTAATAAACTTAATAATTAGAGAAGGGTGCATAAATCCCAGTCGTTATTGTTCCAAAAATGCTATGTTCTCTTTGGGGAGTTCACGTTTTAATGCAGTTGTGACTTAGTAGGTAGAGAAATCCGCACTCCGTTAAATGTCGGCTTAAACAAGCATCTAACAGGACCCGGATATTCTGATACACTGCCTGAACAACCTTTTAGAATCAATTTAGCCCTGCATCAATGAAACACAGAGGATATTTTAAATGACTGATTGCAAGTGCCCATGATAGGATCCTTCAAGAAATACTTCACTTCTAAAATAACGAGACAATTTTGGAAAACTCACAAGGTATGCAGAGAGTAACTCTTGAACTTCCTCACACAATGTTCCTGACTGATCATGAGATACAGTTAGTAACCCAGATATATATTCACCAATTACTTCAGCATCAATATCCTCAGACAGTTCTCTGAGATATACAGCAATCCAATCTAGATTTACTCCTCCAGTAGACATGTGATCTGTTATTTCTTCAGAAAGCTAGTTTCGGTTTCACAAAAACCTATATCGCACAAAAATAATTCTTTGTGCCAGCTTTTTGGCGGTGGAAGAACACTAGGCGGGTCACTAGGCTGTTACTGCTGCTTCTTGCCAAAGTAGCGCAGCATCCCGAACGCCCGCCTTCAAGAGACAAGTTAACAACATTCAATATCGCTTTTACGACCTAGTGTAAACCAATTTAATTTCTTTGTGCTCGCTTTCTGATTGTAAAGTAAAGGTTCCTGATCTTCGGTAAACTTCAGCGTACCTTATCCCGTCTCGACTGTAGTAGCTTTGGTTGCCTCCAAAAGGAATAGCGCTGGGATTAATTACATGTTGTTCGTAGTATGTGGTGTGCTAAGATTTTGTTACTACTGTGAATGGAGTTAATCCTTTCACCAGTTAGTCCCCTGGTGTAGTCGTCAAAAGAAAAGAGACAATAATTATGATAACATATATAATTAGTATAGGTTATTCAGACTAAAAGACAGAAAAAGAAATAAAGACGTAAAAACAGACAACCAATTTAATACGAAGTTGAAATATATGTACACATATATATGTAAATCCCCATAATGGTGCACCCAATGACTGGGTATTGGTTTTCAGAAGAACCGAACACACCTATCCCTGCCTCTTGCGAGACGAGACTGGCATGCAGTATCCTCCTGTGTCGCAACCACTCGAGAGCCCTTTCCGTCGGCAGACCATCTATAACTTCAATGTAAGAAATTCGAAGCCCTTGTAACTCTTGCTTCTAGTTCTGTAAACTCTACTCATTTTGCTCAGCTTCAGTGTTGTATTTCTCAGTGATTTAAAAAAATTCCTTTATATTTAGTTATAGTGAGTAGGAGATTTAATACATTTGTGGAGAGCTCTTAAAATTCGCTATCCGAAATACAGTTTCGCCCTTTCGCAGCGCTTTGTAGGGCTCTTTTAACTGGAAAAATGAGGTCACTATGGGCCTACGCGCTTTTCAAACTCACACTCTGACTGAAGAAGAATCTGTGCCTATGATTTTCCCTATTCGTATATTCCACTTTCTAGAGAATAAGATGAAGGCCAAGTCAGCCTCAGAAATGAATTAACCAGTGGTGGTACTAGCAGTCTCTGTATATGTAACTAGTTCTTCTAATTCACTCGGATGTTTTGTCAACTCCGGTCTGTCTATTAGATGTCTAAAGTCACTGCCTGACATTCTAAACGGTGTGAGAAACTTATTTGCGTCTGATGTGGGGCAAGGAGAGTAAATCAGATGTAGTATGAATCATACCTATTGTCATCTCCATCTCAAGGTGGGTGAGTCATTTATGAAACAAGATCTGGCTATTCGTTTGCATTATTAGAAACTGAGCCCCCAACGAAGGCGCACAGAGTTGCCAAGATATCATTCGTTATCCTAATAAATGCTCTGTTTACCGCCTAGATCGTTCTGAATCCCCTTTATCTCCAAAGATGTTGATCACTAGTGCTTGGAACGATACAGAAGTCCTTGAAGACTAAGACGAAAAATTACAGACCAAGTTCTGGGATTTACAGAGCTTATTTCTGGCATTCAGAAGTGACTCTGAAATACATTTTAGTGTCCTTTTTCTGGCAAAAGGGTTCCTTTTGAACGAGGCGGGCGCTTATATGGCATATCTCTTTTCTGAATAGGCACTACCTGCTTTAACCAGTGGGTATTAGGGCGTTTCAATAAATAGGCAGAAATGTATCTGCAGCATGACTCCACAAAAATTCAAAAGTATGCGTTTAGCCTTGGAATATACTGCTTTTTTGTTTCTGTTACATTGCTCAGATGTCAGTTTCGAGCATTATTATCTGATAAAAATGCATCAAATGTCGCAGTATAATGCCACCGCTAACATATATATCACCGCCACCGCCCGAACTTTAGAAAGGGAATGCATTTTTCACGCTCTTGTTTAATTTCGGCTTTGGTTGTGTTAAACGCTCCAAACGTCTGCAGATTAACTTTCTATCACATTATTCTGATCGAAGTTAGTTTACGTTTCAGTTTTGAGTCTATTTAATTATGGGAAGTTGTGTTAACTTAATAGTTATATATCCATTTTAGTATACTCATTGGCTTTTTTACAACTGATTTATTAAGTGTCGGTGGCACAGTGGTTAGGATTCTCGCCGACCATTCACATGGTCCGGGATCGATCCCTTGCCGACGCACACCCGATATCTATGGTCGGCCTGCAAAATTTGGGCTACCGATATCCATGCTGAAAATTCCATACTTTAATGAAAATACGGTGTGGCATCAAGCTGTAACCAAAAGTAAAAATAAACGAAATATATAAGGTCATATTTGAATCATTTTGTCCCAATTCACTCTGAAAAGCATGCTTATCAAAAAGAACCGCTGTGGAAGAGTTATATGTCAATCTCCAGTTGAAGAACGAATGCAGTGTGATTACTGCAAGAGATGGTTGCATAGCATGTGCACAAACCTAAGTCCCGCAAGGTGGGAGGGCGGAGTTAGCTGATCAGTAGATATGGTGGTGGACACTAAGGTGAATCGCCCCATTCTGCAGGAACAGCATTAAAAAATTTGAAGGCTCGAGATATTTCTGGTTTTTATGAGGGCTTAAATCTTTATCTTGAAAAAGATAACAATGGACGCCTTGACAGATCATGCTTCTACCTTTAAATATATACCATTCACCCAGCCTATTGTTGAGATGCGACCATGTGGGATCTGCTCAGATTTATGGGGCATCTTATAAATTAACTTGCTGTCTATCGTCAGATCTTTTCATACCACTCCACAATGTCTTATCTCATTTATTTTCTGACAACGTCTTTACTTGATCCTCATTTTACTCCATTAAACTTAGCATCTTATAGCTCTTCATTACTTATTATACTCCTACTCTCTGAAGGGTACGGTTGTGCACTAAATGCACAAAAAGGTATAAAATAAAAACAACTGGCATGAGGATAATTGTATTAAAACCAAAAGTGGATATCGTGATAGTTTGTGATATATCTGTAGCATTATACATTGCAAATGAATGTTGTTACCCTAGGGTGTTTCCTTTATTAATGCATTTATTAATGATACTTGCACTTACCTATCTCATTACAATTTAATGATTCACCTCAGCACTTTAATTTTTCTAAAACAGATTCCAATCCCTTGTAAAAGGTGTACTTACCTCAATATCGGTTGGTTATCGTATGCCTACAACCACGGGATGAAAACGGAACGAAGTCGATTTTCCCGCTCAACCTGGAGGACAACTGTACAATTCAATAACTATACGGCCTAATTCAGAAAATGAGTGTATTATATGTATCGAATATTTAACAGTTGAAATACGATTAACTTGTAGACAATCTACGATTTGATATTATATCATACTTGATCGTGCCTGTAAAAATGGCATGCATTTTCATGTAAATTTGTAAATTTATATGAAATACATTATTATTATTATTAACATACAAGCGCTCCTGCAAACCTCTGGCGAACTCACTATGCAATGACTACTGCAGTATAACAGAAGCCATTGACACTCTCATTGGGGCTCTGAAGCTCCTGGACTGCAAGGGTCCTCAGGAGAAGAGCGAAAGCTGCTCAAATACCGATGACGTTACTAACGACAAGACGATATACGCTCCTGGTGCGTCTCTGTCAGGGAGTGGATACTCTTCAGCCCAGAAGAATACCCACCATATTCCAGACACGCATGATGCCCCTGCGATACAGAAAAGCCATCCAGTAATAGTAGTAGAAGGAATGACACGAAGAAGAGGCGTACCAGGGGTCGAAAACCCTCGGCTTAAGTTGCCCAGGGACTTGTATATCAAGCCTCATCCACACAGGTGGAGAGCAGGCAGGCACAATCGACCACGGTTAACGAAGAGGGCGCCAATGAATGGCGTAATGTAGTCTTTTGCAAAAACCGAGATAAGGACAACTTAATGATCACACTGCACACGAACGACGGAAAGACACTTACGCTTCAGAGCAAGAAAGCCATAGCAAACAAACCTGATCTCTCTGACAGGCTGCTCATTCTCCACAAATTAGAAGAATCACCGGCCTCCGATCCCAAGGTGAAGTTGGAGCATGATCTTAACTTGGTCGAGCCGCTCTTAAATAAGCTACTGTCAACAACATTATTAGGCATAACAATACACAGCTTATATAGAATCCGCCAAAAGCCTGACTCTGCAGTAAATCAGCTGGTACGCCTTCTCGAAGTCATAGTAAACTACAAAAAAGAGAGGGATGCCATTCTGAGCAACTCTCAAACTCTTAAAATATCAGGCATATACGTCCTTGCCGACTTATGCCTAGGAGACCGCTAAAAGATGGTCTGCGGCTCTAGAACTAAGCGAACGACGCCGAAACGGCGAAAAACCGCAAGATTAAGGGTTTTCGGGTTGTCAAAGTCCTGAAGCCTCTGTGGGTAGGCTGCGGAAGCAACAGACTGAACTGACAGTTTGCTACACAAACGCCCTCCGCCCGCTGAAAAAAGGACTGGGCTGGGTAATATGATAGACTCCGGAAATCTGGATGTAATAATCACCACAAAGACATGACTCACACCCGGTATCAATAATAACAAAGTTAACCTGTCAAATTTCGATGTGCACAGGGTGGACCGACTGGGCCGCAAAGGAGGTGGCGTAATCATCTACCTCAAGAAATGCTTAAGCGCGCGTAGCATCGAAGCACTCGCTCACAAAAATGAATCGTGTGAACTTCTACGCTGCAGAATTAAATGCATAGGCCAAGATATTGACGTCATTGCAATATGCCGCAGTCCTGACTGCAGTGCAGACGACTTCCTAATAGAGAAGCCAGGTTCCTGGAAGTCGAAATGTATTAGCCTCTCAGTCGGCAACTTAAACGCCCCAACAGTTGACTGGTCAAGCCTTATTACCCCATCTTTGGACAACTCCTTTGGTTATAAATTGGAATCCAACATGTCAATAAGCCCAAGCGCTATGACCCACAGCACTCCTCTACAATTCTGGACCTAGTGTTCTCCCATGGTGAGGATGTGGATCTCATACAACATTTCATCCTTTGGGAAGAAGTTATCACGCTCTACTTACTTTCAAGTTCACAGTAGCAGTAGACTGCCTAAAGTGAATAAGGAGAATGTCCCACTTCGACCTATCATAAACG